TCTTAACAATCTTCCGTTTAAAACCCATATTTTAATTTTTCATATAGCTTGCGAATAATTAATTTCCATTTGACTTTTAAAACATGTGGCAGCCCCTTTGAAAATATTTTTAAACTACAACTTTTTCAAGCCACTTGACAACCAATTTTTTTATATAATTTTCTAATAAATAATTCCCTTAATTCAAGTTGAATTTAATTTTTTAAACCGGTGGCAGCTCTTTTCTATGAGTATGGGATGATTTCATATATCTCCATACCAAGTTGCAGTACTCTATATATACAAATATTTCCTGAGATATGCAGTATAAAAAATCCCGTTTGTTTGGGAGGTGCCACGCCCCATCTTCTAATTGAGATTTAATCTAACCTATATTTTAAATTGGGGTAGATAACATCAGATTACAAAATTAATTAGTTAAAGCGTGAAAGCGTAACAGACAAACTTACCCACTTTTGGATATATAATATTAGTAAGGAAGTAAGGATTCACCAACCAATGCCTCCTTTTTTGAAGTCGGTTAAAAACAGATATCCGCAAAGCACAGTTTTTTATTGCCATCTCAAAACGTGTAAAACTGGGAGCTTTCAAATGTGAAGATAGCAGCCGAGTTACACGTGTAAAAGTATCTATAAACGTAATGTGTTAATAAGTTTATAGTTGCAGTGTGAATTTTAAAGTGTCTGGAGACACGGCAAATAGTCGTTGTAATACAGGCAAGCTTCGATACAACAAACAGGCACGTAATTAACTCACTTTTTACAATTTATAGTAAATTAGCCAATGTCTGCTTGCTTCGTTTTTTTCCGTTGGCCAAGGCAAAAATAGCATTGAAAAAAAACACGCTTGTTAAAGTAAAAGCTCTTTGTTTAGGTTGAAACGGCTAAAGAGCAGAGCGCTCCTCACATATAGGCCAAAACGAATAGCGCTGTGATATCATATGGAATACTGATCGCTTTTGGATGTCATGAGCTTTGCCGATGGTCATATTTCCACCTTCTACTTCTATGATCTTGGAACTACAAAATTGATCCGATGCGTATTATATTATGTAAGCCAACTAAAATCCTTTTAAGGACACTGAATCGCACACAAATGTGTGTTTTTGTTTTTTTTTTTTTTGAGGAGGCCCATGAATATTTCCTAGCTAATTCGCCACTTTTACAATTCTCAATAACCAGGCGTCCACGGACATACGCATATTAATTGATTTTCGGATCAGAGATGTAGGGCAGTCAGCAAAGAAATTTGCTTTGTCTATGCCTGATTGCCACAGAAGGAAATACTCGTTGGTTCACTCTGGGTATTTGATCAAAATCTCTTGCTGTCTCCTAATTGACAAACACTTCTTCTTGATACACCCGTGACGCGGTGCCTAGAAAATCTGAATGATCAGAGATTCCCTTGATACATGAACTGGTGTCTTTGAGTTTTCTAGTAGCCTATAATAAGACCACATACGCAAGTTATAACCTTCGAGAATTTGACTAAAATCTATGCAATGGTTTTTTAGTTAAGTCCGAACAACAAAAACCGCTATCATTTTTAACTGACTTCCAAAAAAGGTTTGTCCGAATATTTTTTTTTATTTTTTTCTTTTTTGTTATGTATGTTACCGCATAACTTTGGACCATTTCGATAATTCTTTTTGCAACGGAAAGGTAGTGTCTCAGAGGTGGTCCCATACTAATTTGGTTTTGATCCGATTATTGAATCATGAAATATATAGATATATATACATATATATTTTTTTAAGTCGTTTTTTTTTTTTGCTAAAAATTACTTGTATATATATCGATTAGTTATATTTATTGAATATGGAAAGGTTCCGAAAAAAGCCAAGCGTTCGATTTCCTGTTACTGCACACTCGCATACATATGTGTATATAAATATAAGTAGTATAACGAACCGTTGTATAGAAGTTCGTTATAAGGAAGCTGGACTGTATAGGTATAGTATAATTAATACCTTACTTCGCTGATAAGTAGCACTGAGCAAATAAGTACATTACATTCTCAAACACTTTTATCTTTTTTTCTTATTTTGCCGCCTTTTTTAAGGAATACAGTTGAAATAAAAGGCAAATAATTATATTTGTAATTTAAGCATTTATAAATATAAACTGATTCTGTTATATATATATGGGCAAATCTCCGGAGACGTGTGTTTTTGTGTCACGCACCTTTAAACTAATTTTATTAATGTAATTTTACTTTTTATAAAAAACTTGGGAAATTTTGACGACAAATGTGACGAGTTCTTGTAACTTGTTTAATTTTTTTTATTGCAATAATGCCATTTTTATTTTTTTAAGCAATCAAAGTAATTAAAATCATAATTTTTACGCAAAACGGAGACTTTCAATAAACATGGCGAATAGTAAATGTAATATTTGAAAATACATTAGGCTCCTCATTGGTAATAAACTGTCTAAGGGTCTAAGTAATTCTGATTTTTTATTTTTTTTTTAGATAATTAAGGCTAAAGTTGATTACTTATTGTAAATTCTTGGTAAATGCATTTAAAATGATTCTTGCCGAAATGAATGCATAACTTATATATTCAAAAAATTTCACTCAGACCCTTATGACTCGAACCCCTTCAAATATTGTCTGAATAGGTCTTTGCGTTGATGGCTTCAAAATGTCCCTCTTTTGATGGCACACTGACAGACTAAAACATAACAGGTTGGCATTAAGCGTGATCGCTAGATAACATTCTTCACAAAGTTAGTTGAAAATGCTAAATACATTAAATTATTTTCCTCTCTAAAATACGACCAGGAATTTTTATGTGTATATGTAAGGATTTTCAAATCTTTGGGCAGTGAGATTAACGAATTTTTAAATATTTACTCCAAAATGATATTTTCAATGGATCTTAAGCGAGAATTAGTTTTTCGTAAAATTTTTTTTTTGAAACTGGGTGTGGCCCACCCATTTATGTCAAATGTTTGTATCTCGAAAACGACTTCATCAATCTGTACCAAATTCGATATACACATTGAGCCTGACCTTCTTAAATACTGTTTAGAAAATTTTTCAAATCGGACAAAAATCAGGCGCTCTAGAAGTATCGCTAACATTGAGTTTACAAAAATTATCGTTTTTTACTTATAACTCTTTAAGCATTTGAAAAAGTTTATCACACAAGAATTTAATGTTTCCTCAATGGATTACAAAAAAATTTTATGTATAATTTATTTGAGTGCGTTCAATTTAAAAATTTACGTTTTTTTAGCGCGGTTCCGAAGATTTGCCCATATATATGTATGTGCATAAGGAAATCAAGATACACGCGATTCGTTTATTAGGGCTATAAGTACTTTGGCATATGATACGCCTGTAGTCCATAAAAGTGGAGCAGTATATACCTACTGACATATTTACCCTTAGTCTGGCTTTTGCAAGTTACATTAAGTGAAAGCTTCTGTTAGAAGCTTGATTTACAAAATCAACTTTCACAGCGTACAACTATAAAAAAATTGTGCTAAATTGGGGTTTTCAGTGCAGATTACTGATGCAGACTCGCATCTTGCTTTCACATAAACACCTTTAGCACCTGCACAATATTCTAGTGACCGAAAATAACAGTTATTTTTTCCGAGTTAAATTTGGCCTATTATTTTTTATTCCGAAATAACCGTCCTATCCGAATAACAAAGAAACCGCTTATCCAAATTAAACAAATTTGGTATCATATAAAAGAGGACTGAAAAAGCTTTTAAACAGAAATAACGAATAAAGGTTACCACCTCTATTTATATTTTTTTATAACTTAATACTAAAGAAATTCATGTAAATACATACCTGACCCAATGTTTGTTCTATGGTAATTAATTAACATTTTTTATTGAAATATTTTTCAATGTGCGGCTTTCCCCTTTTAGACATTTCAGTTTTAAAGCTATTTAAGTCCTCTTTCATTGGATACCAAACTTGTTTAATTTGGATAAGCGGTTTGTTTATTATCCGGAAAGTACTTTTATATCTGAATAAAAAATATTTGGTCAAGTTTAACTCGTAAAAAAATAACTGTAATAACGGTCCCTTCAATATTCGCATTCGCAAAAGATCCGCATTGATTTTTGCGAATGCGAAAGCGAATGCGAATGTCAAAATTAATGCGGAAGCTTCGCGGTTGCGAATGCGAATGCGAATATTCGCAACAACCCTGGTACATACATATGAAAATTCGGTAAGATTTAAAACCGAATTTGAGTCCAACCCCTTTTAAAAAGTAAAAAAAAAACCGCACTAATTTCACTTTTGTTTGTTTTATCTCACCACTTCTTCCAAACGTTCGAAAAAGGTGGAAAGGATCTCTCCCCCACGACTGCTTGTGGCACTGCAAATGTATGTAAAAAAGTGTCACCTTGTAGAACCATTCATTCGAAAGTACTTAATAGTGATTTTCATTACATCAACTTATGGCTATCTTTATTTCCATCCGTGCCTTTAGCGCTTAAAACCAAGCACATATTAATTCATGAAGAGCTACTTAATGTAATATGATAAGCAGAGATAATTTTTGTAAACTAAATATTAGTAGGGGTCTTCATCTAAAGTGATAAAGGGGTGAATTGCTTAAACTTATCAGTTTATCCGCATTCTTTCATAAACGCACCTTGGTAAATATTTAACTGCATAAAACTATTTATTATTTAACTTATATGGCTAGTTACATTTCATTCTTACCTCGTCCATTGTGTTCATTTGCTTTTATGTGTTCGTAGCAAAAGCGACTACCTGGCAACCTGTTGAGGGTTGATTTTTGCTGAAATTTATACATTTATCCACCAACGTCGTTTGATAAAGCGATAAACTTTGGGTAAATAGATTTCCATACAACGTTTGACAGTTCATTTATCAAAATGATAAACTTATCACTTTATCAAGTTTATCAAGAGTTTATCACTTTTGATGAAGACCCCTAGTATGTATATATTAGTCTCCGATTTGAATACTTCAGCCAGTAGTTAATGCAAATTCCACCAGCCATGGCGCATTTCAGTGCAATCAGCAGTTTACTGTTAGTTAGCGTAGCATTAATTGTGATATCTTCATTCGTAGTGAAACCAGCAGATGGTTCGAATATTTTGGGGGTCTTTCTCAGTCCTTATCCCTCGCATCTGATCGTGCATATGTCGGTGGTTAAAGCGCTAGCCGAAAAGGGACACAATGTGACCGTTGTTAGTTTGTTCAAACCCAAAGTGAATCATAAAAATATAACCAACATTATTATACCACCTTTGGAGAAGCATCTGCCGAGTTATCAAGCAGCGGTGGCACGTTTGGCCAATAGCAAAACGACTGTTATTGAACTGTTTGGAAGTCAATTGACTTCCAATCGGGTGTTGATGGATATGCAGTTCGATGCCTTACTGGACAAACGATTTGTCGAACTCTATGAAAACAAAGACAATAAATTCGATGTGGCCATATTGGGTTTCTTCATGAATGATTTCAAGTTGGTGGTTGGCGCAAAATTCAACTGTCCGATCATAGTAAGTTGGATGAACCAGCCTATGGAGATAGTTGACGATCTGATGGGCAATCCAACAGAGCTCTCGTATTTGCCGACAATGGAGATTTCCATGAAAGTGGGAGAAGTCATGAATTTTCCAACGCGTGTTCGAAATTTTTTTCTGACCACCGTTTTAAAAGGAATTAGATTGATGCTAGATCTAACAACGGAAACACACTATAAGTGAGTTTTAGGTTCTTTAATGGAAAATTACGGGTCATTATATATTAATTCGCTAAATTTTAATCTGAAGCCTAAATTTACGTTGTATTGACTACTATCGGTTTTTTGAGTTTGTATTTAAAATTATTGAGTAAAAATACTATTGAATTCAATATGGTCTACACGTGGTTGATAAAAAAAAAAAAAAATATTTAAAAAAAATTATTTTCAGAAAAACTTTCAATATTGTTTGGGTACAAAAAAAATCACTTGAATTATCACTAAATACTAATCTGTTGAACATAGTAAAAAAATTTTTAAATAATACATTATATAAAATTTACCAGTAGAAGAAAGAAAACCCATTTTACAAAATTAGAATCGATCGGCCCTTTTTCGGCTTTTGGCGTTCCCTTAAACTTTAGCATTACATTTTTGCTGCTTCAACTATCACCTTCACACTGATCATGCAAGCAGGTGCAAAAGTCGGGACCCGTCTTCGATGGCTTTCGATAGCTGAAGCATTATTTTAGCCAACCCAAAAGAATAAAACCCCAAAATCGAAAATTTATTTTTGGACTTATGGGCACGTATTGGGGACCAAATATCACCGCGGGCGCGCATTTGCTAGTTATTAATAAAAAGAGAAAAAAATATTTATATTAATTTCTTGAATTTTCTTTTTTTAATTTTATTTCAGTAAATTCGTTGCCGCAGATCCCACTCTACCCTCATATGAATTTATGAAGAGAAACATTTCAATTATGTTTTGCAACAGCCATTACAGTGAGGGCCCAATAAGACCACTCACACCTGCAACGATTCTCATTGGTGGCATACAAATCAAGGAGAAACCAGATCCACTCGCCAAAGTGAATAGTCATAGAAAAAAAAGTAAAAATAAAAAACAAAAACACTTTAATAACTGACTTTTTATGCAAAATTTCAGGATCTTGCAAAATTGCTTTCTGCCTCGCAGGAACACGGCGCAATTCTCTTCAGTTTGGGCTCCTACATTACAGACTCGCATGTCAAACCCGAAACTTTACAAATTATTTACAAAGTACTTTCCTCGCTCAAACAAAATGTGATTTGGAAATGGGAGAACTTGGCGCATACACCGGGCAATGCTTCGAATATACTCTACCAAAAATGGCTGCCACAAGATGATATACTCGCTCACCCTAATCTCAGACTATTCATTACGCATGCCGGCAAGGGTGGCATTGCAGAGGCTACATACCATGGCGTGCCGATGGTTGCATTGCCGCTGTTTGTTGATCAGCCCGGCAATGCGCAAAGAATGGTACAAGCCGGCTATGGTATACAGTTGGACATAAAGAAACTCACCGAGCGTATATTTCGAAATGCCATCTCTGAGGTGCTCACAAATCCCAGCTACGTAAATAAAGTGAAAGCGTTCTCCAGGCTATATCGCGATCGACCGTTGAGCGCCAAGGAAAGTGTAGTCTATTGGACGGAATATGTGATACGACATCGTGGCGCTGCACACTTACAGAGTCCATTGGTGAAAATGAATTACATTCAAAGCGCAAATTTGGATGTATATTTGCTCTTAATTGGCGCACTTTTCATTATTTTGAAGTTGCTCCAGCTAGCGTGGAGATATGTGAAGAAATTTAATTTATTTGGATATGAACATTCTGAAGTGCAAAAGTCGAAGAGAGAATAAATAAACATTACTTCAGTATGTACATACATGCATACATGACTAAGTACCTACTAAGATAAATGTAATTTAGATATTTGTATATGTAAATAAAAATGAAGATTATTCTGTGATTATGATACGAGATATGTAAATATCTTTTTAATTGCTTTTGGTGCAGCTATTATGGCTATAGGTGCATGAACTTATTATTAGTGTGTTCGATTATTCGAATTGTTTCCAAAACCGTTTTTCGAGATATTCGAAATAGGTATTTACTTGCCAAAAAAAAATAGTTTCTTAATTTTTAAATTCGGAAAAAAAACCGGTTAGACCAGATATTTGCTTTTAAATTTTTCGCGTTCGGATAACGCTTACAGTTAGTCAGAAATGAAGGAAATGCAATAAAACTATCAAAATTATGTATGGCTTTCGTTTAAAAGACAGTCAAATGGAATAAGGACGCCGAAAGTTCGTCCGTATATTTACAGTAACAGAGTAAGTAAACATACAAGAAATTAGCAAATTCGATTTACTTTAACGCGTACATACTTCCCATACAAACCAAGCCTCAAAAACGCTTATAGCTCCGATCTTAAAATGGCTGTAATGGGTTTATTTTTACGCACACCCCCTCCGTACAAGCCCAACCTCAAAAAGCTTTGAAAAGCATAGACAGGCAAGCCGAGTTATACAAAAATTGGCAAACTTAAACTCTATGTATATAAAAAATTGTGCCTCACGGTGGGTAAAACTCCTTATACTTCAGGCTAAAAACCAGAAAAATTTAATTACTAGGCAAAATGCGCCAATTGCTAAATTCGGTGTTGCTTTCTGAAACAGATAATAAAAGATGAATTAAAAAATATTAACTTACCCTTGTATACTTTACCACGTCATTTAAAACTTAATCATCTTCATTATTTATGATTTCTAATGCTTGTAACAATTTCGAAGAAAAATAGATTTGTTTAGAAAAATAATTTCAGCTGGAATAGATTACATATTAATCCTTATTAGTATAGAAATAATTAATTAAAGGTAATTATAAGATATATTACATTAATTGTATTGAAATGGACTACTGTCCCTGTTATACAAAGTCGTTATTTTTTAATGCACCTAAAACGAATTAGATTAGAACTTTTATCTACAGGGATGTTGACCTGCATATTTCGTTATAAAATGCTTATACAGTTAAGCATGGACTTACGATAAGATGCGCACCGAATAAAACCACCAAAATATTTTGAAGATTTCACAGTAGACAACTTGAAATCAGCGACATAAGTATGCAGTGTTTTGGTGCGTGCGGCAGAGTTCTTCTTGTTAGCGTTGCATTCGTTGCGATATTCGTCGCAAGCTTTGTTCAGCCAGCAAGTAGTGCGAATATATTAGGGGTCTTTCTCAGTCCCAGCCCTTCTCACCTGATCGTTCACATGTCTGTTGTGAAAGCGCTGGCCGAAAAGGGACACAACGTTACAGTGGTTACTTTACTCAAACCGAAAATATATCACGAAAATATAACAAACATCCTAATTCCACCGACGGAGACCGACCAAGCAAAATATGAATCCTGGGTGGCCGAACTTTCAAATGGCAAATCAAATATTTTACATGGCTTAGTAGTGTTGTTAACAACGAATCGAGTGAAAATCGATATGCAATTTGAAGCTTATGTAGACAAACGATTTACCGCACTCTATGAAAATAGAGACAACCAGTTCGATGTAGCCATATTGGGGTATGCCCTCAACTACTACCAGCTGGCGGTTGGGGCGAAATTCAATTGTCCCATCATAGTGAGTTGGGTGCAACAGCCTATGGAAGGCGTAAATGCTTTGGTAGGAAATCCCCGAGAGATTTCATATGTAACCACGTTGATGAACGCCAAGGCAACCGGAGAGGCGTGGAATTTCGGCAAACGTTTGGAAAATTATCTTTTTGGCACCATTTTAAAAGGAGTAACGCTTATTATTGATCATTTGATGAGTGGATATTATAGGTGAATAAAAAGATTTGGATTTGAAAAAAAAAAAAAAAATTTAAAGCCCGAATATAATTTTTGTTTTCCGATCTACTACAGTAAACTCACGGCAGTGGAGCCAAATTTGCCAACATTCGAAGCTATGAAAAGAAATGTTTCGCTTGTGTTTTGCAACAGCCATTACAGTGAAGGACCTATAAGACCACTCACACCAGCAACCGTGCTGATAGGAGGCATACAGATCAAAGAAAAACCAGACGCACTTCCAAAGGTGAAAAATTAAGCTAAAAGACTTGCAAAATATTGAAAACTGGGGGAGAGCATGTCTTATATAAACTGTACAGTCAGAGACTGGTCTTTTTTTTTAGTTTAAAAATATACCCCACACGTATTTCGAATACACCAAAACTAACTCTCGTTTTTTTTAATTTTACATTCCAGAACATTGCAAACTTTCTTGCTGCTTCGCAAAAGAATGGCGCCATTCTCTTCAGTTTGGGCTCCAACATTAAAGACTCACATATCAAACCCGAAATTTTGCAAATCATTTACAAGGTACTTTCTTCGCTCAAACAAAATGTGATTTGGAAATGGGAGAATTTAGCGAATACACCGGGCAATGCCTCGAATATACTCTACCAAAAATGGCTGCCACAAGATGATATACTCGCTCAACCTAACTTAAGGCTATTCATCACACACGCCGGAGCAGGTGGCATTGCGGAGTCTACCTTTCATGGTGTACCGATGGTTGCGATTCCAATATTTGCAGACCAACCTACAAACTCAAAGAAAATTGTGTTGGAAGGGTTTGGTGTGGAAGTGGATTTTGACCAACTGACTGAGAGAGCATTTCGAAATGCGATCTCTGAGGTGCTCACGAATCCCAGCTACGCAAATAAAGTGAAAGCGTTCTCGAGGCTATATCGCGACCGTCCGATGAGCGCCAGGCGAAGTGTAGTCTATTGGACGGAATATGTGATACGACATCGTGGTGCTGCGCATATGCAGAGTCCTTTGGTGAAAATGAACTACATTCAAAGTGCCAATTTAGATGTGTATTTGCTCATTTTGGCTACACTTTTCGTTGTTTTCAAATTGCTCCATTTAGCGTGGAGATATTTGTGGAGTAAGGTATTTGATGAGAAGATAGCAAAAAAGCCGAAAGAGAAGTGAAACTAAAATTAATTTATCACCTCCAATATATGCAGCTCGAAATTATAGTTCGGATACTGTAAATTTCATAAACCAAATATGTATTTTAAAGCAATGTTTTTTTTTAGCTTTATGCCACGATTTGTTTGTTAGGATAAATGGGAAAATACGACAAAGTTTAAGCGATAGAAGTTATAGCTGCTATTTCGAAGATCACCACATCTCCCCATCAGACTTATTTTTACAGATTTCAGCAGCAATAGAACCCGCATCATCGATGTGCAAAGCCAACAACGCTAACCACTGATCTACAGCCCGTAAACTTTTGTCGCTAATCCATTTCCTTATTCAACCTACTAGCTATGAAGCGCATAGCTCAGTGGTTAGCGTTACTGGCATTGTACATCGATGATGCTGAAATGAATTCGCAAAAAAACACGCGAAAACTTGTTATCGTTTAGTTTTGTGCATATTTATAATGCTAAAAATAAAAAAACAAATTTGAATATTTATGTAGCAAAACGGAGTTTTTTACCGAAAGTAATATTTTTTTTAGGAAATTACCCAGCAGAAAAAAAGTATCAATTGATAAAAAAATAACCCAATTGTAGTTAGCTTTTTTGCGGGATTTCTATAAAATAGTATATAATTTGTAGTTAGCTACAAAAAGCTTACTTGAAAGTAATTGACAAGTAATGCAGGAGTAATGCAAGAGATTGTTTTCTTTAAACGCGTCTCTATTTATATATCCTGCACTTCGCAAACACTTTTTAGAGTTGAGGACAAATAAAAAGAAGATCGAAATCTCATATTATCATTTTGAAGTTATATCTGACGGAGTTATAATATAGAACCACCTACAGCAGAATATGTACACAAATATGAAATGTAATAAAATAAATAAATAACAAATAAAAATAAATAAAATATTCTGCTTTTTTTATTGATATTTTATGTCCAAAAATAGTTAGTTACATCAAATGCAGAGGTAACCATCCACAAAGAAAGTGAGTTTTAGCTCCTTTCTAATCAACTTAAAGTTAGCTTATAGTTACATACATTTCCTGCTGGGTAGGTTAAACTTATGCCTAGTTGTATATAAATTAATAAATAGCTTCAAAACAACTAATCCAGTTGGAAAATGTTTTTGGCATAGGTGAAGGCAAACTTAATATACATATGTACATATATGCTCTCTGTGCATATGTACGTACACGAAGATATACAATTGTATAAGTGTTATGTATGTATATTTACTAGGGTGGTCCTTAAATTAAGGAAGCTAATTTTTTCACAGATATCACATATAAATTTTGGTCCCGATTGGGGGCGGTTGAGGCGTGTCGCACACGGGGGTAAAGTTCAGATATACATATGTATGTAATATCTGTGACAGTGGTATTACCGATTGAGAGGGTGAGACCTAAAAAAATGTTTCAATTGATTTTTAGGGACCACCCTAATGTACATAGACACACACACACATCGTTCTATATATTTACCTTCCGTATTTTATTGTAATTTGTTGCAAAAAGCACAGTACCTTCTCCTTCTGATTAAAATAAGTTACTAAATAGTTTTTTTGTGTTTTGTGATAATACACTTTTTAAGAACATGGCAATAAAATATATGTATGTATATTGTATTGTATATGTATCGTCGGTGGTTACTGCAAAACGGTCTATGTCTATTAGTAACCTTCCCACCTAGATGGTCTCTTACTTGCACCGGAATGCATCTGCTGAAAATTATTACACCCTAATAAACGAATGACAAAACTATCTACCTTTGGCTGATGAAGATAAACAATTGCCAGAAGTGATCAGACACAGATGACAGATCAATTAAGCGCCAGAGGTAATAAGTGACATAAAACGTTTTGCAGTATCACCGACGAT